GCTATTTCAACATCTTCAAAAAAATTCAGTAAGCATTGCGAAACTGTAAAGCATGACCAGCAATTATAAACTGTACTTGTATTCTGAGGCCATAAATGGTAAACAATTCTATCTCATCTTTTACCAAAGACAGTTCTAATCTGAAGTTTACTGAAAAAAAGTGATAAATGACAAAGGGAGAAGAAAGCTTTCCATTCTAAGCATTTACTTCAACAGGCAGCTGATGAGCACAAGACCAGAACTAGAATGTGATGTGCAGGATACATAACCACAAATTCTGTGTTTCCTCATCTGAGCCATAATGGAGAAAAGCAGCTCATCCTGACAGAAGTCTAGGATGGCATCCAGTGCCTCCATTTTTTTAACCTTCACATAATAGTGTTTTAGTGCATTTCAAATGCAATAAAAACCATGATAATTGCCTCTAAAATTAAGATAAGGATTTGCCTATCCTATTGTGTGCTGCTTTGACTACTGATGGTACTGTAGTCTACTATACGGTGATGATGGGGTGATAAAACTTTTGCCAGCATGACTTTGGAAGAGTCGTATTGCTTGTGAGTATGGAAGCCAAAAAAAAGACAGAATGGTACATCCTGAGAATCAGTGCAGAGTTAAACCTCAGCACCTTTAAGCCTAGCTAGCTAGAATCTATCAGATCGCAGGTATGCCAATTGATTCACAGTTGACTATAGTCTGGCCCACGTTCCTAAGAATAATATAGTAAACAGGAGACTTCACATCTGGGAAAACGGAGGAAAATACACTGATGACAGCTGCCTAAACTTCCAAATCTGAGGCACTTCAAGAACTTCACAGAAACCAGATCTATGCACACCACAAATCTCTCATTCTTAACAAATAAGCCAAGAAGATTAGAGGATTCAGTGTATCCCCTAAGGATGCCAAATATTTGGAATGAAAAACAGTTGAAATATATTCTTGTTTAAGGAATATTTTCCCAAAGCTAACAAAAAGGAGATAGACCAGGAAAACAGTACTCACCAGAACGTCCCTTTGTCCCTGCTTTCTGTGTCTATGAACCCAGATTCCAAAAACATGTCCTTGTAAATTCGACCAACCAGGCAGTACATATCTGAAGCTACTTGGTCTTCCTGTTCTACCAGGGGAATCATAATTTCTAGAGCTTTCTGTCTGTCTCCAGGCAGATTTCGTCTAGTAAAAAATAAAAATTTTGATTAAAAAACCCAATTAAGTTAACAAGAAATACTTTTTCGTCACCATGTTTGAATGTGTATCTATGACTTCACCCATGTGAAACATGCTTCTAGACACAATGGACTATATTATATACACACACTTACCCTCCCCTTCTTCCTTTTTTTTTTTTTTCCTCCTTCCTTTTCTTAATATCCAGGGATACCCTTTATGAAAGCCCTCAAACATGCTTCCTCTCTCTCATGAGCCATAAGCTGGAGAAAAGTACTGACAACAGCAACGAGAGCCTCAAGAGCAATTCTTGGAAAGATCATGTGTTATTTTCTTACAAAATAGAAAGATATGAACCTTGGTTTCATATCCAATACTTTTTCAATAGTAATTCATGCTTTAAAGGAAAAAAAAAATTCCATTTTGTGTTTGTGATTTTTTTTTTTTTTTAAAAAAATATATATATTTTGAACATGAAGCAAAACAACCAAAAAGCACAAACCAGACTGAAGTCCCATGATAGGGGCAGTTAGGAAGTGAAGCCAATAAGGCAATATTAACAAAAGTACTTCAGACAAAGAAACCACATAATTGCAAGCATTATACACTTCCTGGTGACTCACAGTTTGGATACATACATTATTCAGTATCAAGAGTTTAGAATTTTTTACATATTTGTGTAGTGAACAAGCAAATTACTCCCTTCTCAGCAAAAATTATTCCTCAGTGGTTTGGGGAGAGTACTACACTATTTTGGACAAATTGCTTGTAATACTTGAGTGGCTACAATTTGAATTGGGGGTGGAATATACAAAAGTGGTTCTATATCTGTCTTGCAAGCTTTGAACTGAAGCAGCTTGCAAGAGAAGTCTACCTCAGGAAGAAAAAAAGCCACATCAAAAGCCACAGCCATCTCAAAGCAAATACTACTCAATCAGAGGTTCAGGAACAGATTTTTTCTTCCTCCTCTACAAGAACATATCAAAGATTTGATGCATCCGTACAGGCAGTGTGCATGTCAAACCTGCAAGATGAGAGCATGTGCACTTTAAGTGATACCTGAGCTCGTGAGCTCTGAGCTCATGTCTGCGGCTTCAGAAGGCAGTTGTGGAAGAAAAGGTTTAAAACAAGCAGAATGGAATTTGACAGTACAAGAGAAAAAGAAAGCTTAGACCAATCCAGTAGGGAATTTCACCCAGGATTACCAACCCTGCGTGAAGTCTGGAGTTCTGAGATACTGTTCGACAGCAGAAGGAAGGGTAGATTCTTACCTGTTCAGCGCAAATGCATAATGAAGCCTCACGTGGTGATGGGAAGCCAAGTCAAAAGTAGGCAGTTTTTCTAAAGTTTTCACCAGTTTCACAATGGAATCGTAATCCTTCCAAAAGAAAGGAATAATGAAGTTTTAAGCGGCTGTACTGAGGTATGCCTATATAAACTCCTCTTTGACCTATGCACCTATTATTTCACACTAAGAAGTATTTTCAATTGATCGTAAGTTTTATGGATTTCAGTTTCTTCAGTCTCAAACTTTAAATAGCCTGGCACTCATCAGAAATGTGAAAGTGCACTGTATTTAGCAGGGAAACACAATTTCATCTCCTGTACTGCTTCAACGTGGACCTGTGGAAATTTTAGTACATCTATTTCATGGTTAGAGTTAGCTTCAAGGGCTGAACACGTATCAGAGTTCATATTGTACAGACATTACAATGCTAACTGCATCTGAGCTGAGGCATCCCAAAACTCTGAAGTAAATGTGAGGGACAAAAACAAAGTAAAAGAATCTTTCAATACCACAGGTTTTTAAAGTAGCTTATTTACTGACATATTTAAAAACAAAACAAGTAAACTCAAACTCAAAACCAAACTACTATAAAATGTTTAAGGAGCAAAAGTTGAAATTACGTATAACAGAGTAAGCAATTACAAGCACCATTCCAGAAGCTGAAATGTATATGAACACGTGTTGCTTCCAGGAGAAATGTCACAAGCATGGTGACAAAGAATACATATACGTAGCAATAGCAGAATGCTATCATAGCTTCCAAGTAGGACACACCATGGGCTGCTCATCACATAGTAATGCTGAGATGGAGGAGAGTTATTATATGTTGTGTACTTTTTAGGCGCTGTTATAAAATAACAACGCTTTTCTGCTTTGTAAAGGCACACTATAAACAGTGTAACTACAAAATAAAAAGCATACTGTCAAAGACTTTTACTAGGGTGCATTATTCACATAGTTTGCTAGCAAACTTGTGCAAAATACACCAAAAATTTCACTGAGAATTTAATTTAATTTACCATGCTTTAGAGTATCTTCGAGCATAGGATTCATACCTGGATGTCTCTGTAGGAGAGCAGCAAGTTTATCACAATGTCAGCAGACAAGACTTCAACGTTATCCACTCGCTGTCGAATCCTTGCCAGCTCTGCCGCGAGCTCTCTGCCCGTGTAGAGGGTACGGGCCTTCCTGATGTCGTTCAGGATGGATTCCCGGAAATACTGGCTGCAGAGGAACGACTTCACGTCAGCAGTTTGGGACAGGTCCCTCTCACTTGTTTTTCTGGCCCTGCAGCTCTCCCACAATTTATACGTGGAATATTTATTGATAGAGCAGTGTCAATGGAGAGATCTGGTCAAGCTAAATTATCAATTTGTCTCAACAGAAGGCAAAACATCGCATCACCCTGAAGTAAGAGCCTGACATTTATACTGCCAGCAGTTATGAATTTTATACAGGGGTATAAAACGACAACTCACCTTGAACTGGCCTGTGCCACCTTCAAGAGCTGAATAAATCGATCGACCAGAGGTAAGCAGATAGGCCCAAGCAGCGACTCGAAACTGGGCTGCATCAGTTCTGTTAGTCCCTTCATGAAACTGCTATCACAGCAGTATACCTTGTTATGTGGAGTTATCATATAAGGAACAAATATGTAGTTACCAGTGTTTTTTTTAAACAAGGTGCAATGTTTAGGGCAGTTATGGTTTGACAAGCTTAAGCATAAAACAACTTCATATACTACCTCCAGAATTCCACTTGTTAAGGTCAAAGGGAGATCCGCCGCTTACTTCAGCAAGACCAAGATTTTACCCATGAAGCCTAGGATTACATAAATTCAGTTTTCATCTCAAATATGATATAACTCTGAAATGTATTCTTTCAGATTTCTGAACTGCTTCCCGCAAGACAAGTCTTTTTAGAAGCATCATGTTGGCCTTAAAATAGTCACTTGTTCTGAGGGCACACCCCAGTCACCCCGAAGCGGTAGGCAGACGTACGCTCTTTTCGAGGTGACTGGCGTTCAGAAGAGAGCAAGCGCTCTGCTATTTAGTACAGTTAGGCTCACAGATGTTGAAAACAGTCACACAAGCTAGTTGCCTCACAAAAGGAAAATTTTAGAGAAAACTAATCCTCATATGAACTGCAAAACGACTCTAATAGTTTAGCGTAACAAAGACAAATTAAATTCCTTGCTATGCAGCAAACCCTCCTGGCCAGTGGGACTTAAAACCATACCTATTTCAGAATAATCACTTATGGAACCTCTTAGCATTACTAAATTGTATTGATTTCGATATATCAATGTATGACAGATATTTCACCAAATATGTGCAAGTACAGATTTATACACACAGAAAGCTTTCTTAGCATTACTAAATTGTATTGATTTCGATATATCAATGTATGACAGATATTTCACCAAAAAAAAAAAAAATCATTTATCTTCCAGGAAAGAGGGAGGCAAGGTGTCTGGTGTCTGCGGTATACGTGCGAGTACAGATTTACACACACAGAAAGCTTGCTGAGTATTTGTGGTTCTGAAGGGACTTAACTATGAGACAGGACACCATCAAAACCGGGAGGAGTTCTGCCGTTTGGCTCTCAAAGCTCAGACTCCACCACTGAAGTGGCCAGCAGCCCAGCAAGAAAAGCCTAAGGAAGCAATTCTTGAGACTCATCATTTCGGTATCCCTAAATTACATTCAAGGTTAATTACTTTCTGGTCAGCTGCTTCTGCTCTCCCAGAAGTCAATATAGCACTGAGGACATCACTTCAGAGATGCCCCTGGCAAGCTGAGCTCCATGCACTGAGAGAGCAGGGACTAAATAGCTTTCAAATGCACAGCACCAGCTGTGTGCTTAAAACTTGCATTTTAGCATACATTATTAAAGTTTCAAAACATGGAAGGATTGAGATACTCTAGTCTGTATAAATGTAGGTGTACAGGTATGTCAGTAAACTTATGTTTGTGTACAGGACAGAGATTGGCCATAAAGAGTACAGGAATTACTTTTTTTTTTATTACACCTATTATACTATGAAACTATAAGACTTGCTATAAAGGGAATCCCACCCCCACTTCTGAGGGATATAGACAAACTCTGTAAAATTTAAAAGTAATTAAAGCAGGCACTTACACAAGGTCCATTGAGCTCAACTAACCCAGAACTTGGCTGGAGATTATTGCATACACAGACTTGCACAAGGATGAAGTCTTCTTCCCCCAACAACTGCAAACTCTTACAGCTGAATAGCTAGGACACATTTTTCTGTGCATGAGTGTAGCAATTCCAAAGGAAACTAGAACTGGGAAGTGTATGATGATATTTTTAACAAGCAATTAAGGAGCGTGATGCTAGAACCCAAATTGTTCATCTTTACAACTGAGAACTGAATGGACACTTCTGCTCAAGACTACGCTAGCATGCAAGGCGATCACACACTTTCAAGAGTGAATGGATGAACCTTTGACCCTGCTAAAACCTAATAAGGCCCACAGTCAAAGGCAGAGAGGAAATTATGCACTTGCTGGTTTCAGCAACTACAGGACACGGGCGGGCAGTGACTGGCACAGCCACTACTAAGTGTAGGCAGACTATTCTCCAGCTTTCCTTTTTTAAATAAAGGAGAAAAAGTTTGGGAGGGCAGAGCCAAGAGAAAGGGTGAAGTAGCTACAGGCATCCTGGGGCAAGTATTTTACTTCCTAATGTTTATTCAGTGCATTAAAAATAAATTCCAGACTGCTTGCAGGAAGGCCGTCTCAGACCCCTGGCACACTGTTTCCAAAGCTCAAATCTTAATTAGAAATCAACTCTGGAAAAGGACATTTCCAGCTTTTGAAATCCACAGTACCCAAAGTTTATCCTGGCATAACGGTCAGGCCACGTACAGAGACAGTACCGGAGTCGTCAGAAATAGTCCTACAAGCAGGAACCCCACTCTTCCTGCAGAGACCAAGTGCTCGAGTCCATTACTGAGCAAGAGCTCTCACAAACCGACCCCGAGAGCACCTTCTGTGGGAGGTAGGTATCTATTTCAGTGGAGCAAGAGAGCCAGCAAAAATTAGTTTACATGCTTTTTTCCTGTTACCCGAGGGGAAAAAAAAAAACCAGCTGGTTATATTACAGACGCCTGCTACAGAAGCCACACAGACCCAGTAGCCTTTGGAAGCAGTGGACAAGGAAGAAGTTAACAGTAAAAGACAGGAGAAATCACTACATGGGAAGAAAATAAAAATCAATTTAAAGTTCAGAAGGCTCCCAGGGTTCTTGGGGAATTGTCTCAAGGTAGAATCTCACCTTGATCCTTGGTGGCACGTAGTGTGGGAACACAGTGGCCTTTCCCTCAGCCAGGGCACTAATTTGGTTAACTCAATCTAGGCAGTTCTGTTTTGGAGGCAGATCTGTATCTCTGAAACCTCTCAAATTTGGCTGAAATTCATCAGACAAACAGGTAGATGCAGAAAGAGGGTGGAGGATGAAAAAACAGTGCAAGCAAAGTTTCGTTTCCTTAGGAAACAGGCTTTCAAAAAAAAAAAAATACAAAAAAACCCCACATGCAGTAAAGCTAAGAAATACATGAAATATTGACCTCAATTTCACTTTCCTAGCTAAAGAGTACATTAGACATTTAACAGCTGAACCTGACAAAGGCAGACATGCAGTAGCTGTGGTGACAAAAGAAGAAAAATAATATAACGCTTGATTATTTTTTTTATTTACTAAAGGTGGTGGTGGAATAAAGATAACAGTGAGAGCAAGATTGCTCTTGTATAACAAAGTCTACGGTCTCCCACTATGGAGAAACATATTTGGTCACCATCACAAAGTCTAACTACCAAGAGCCCAACCTCGACCGCATCTGGGCAACGACTGGGATGGGAGCCCGAGAGGGCCAGGCTAGGGGGGCAGGAGCTGAGGAGCTGCTCCAATGTCAGACAGCTCTAATCCTTCTTCCCCAAAGCAGACTGCATGACCCGCTTCTTTCCTCATTCCCAAGCTATGCAACCTTTGTCTCAGCCACTTTGACCTTTCCCACCTTTCTTCGTCAAAATATAAGCTACACTAACTTAAGTTAGAAAGGATCAGGTAGTCTTTCCAACACACGCTCCGCTTTACATTTTGATTTAGTGCACGTTATTCCACTTACTCTATTAAAATCTGCCCTGTAACACACTATCCCAACTCTGATCTCAAACTGATATTCTTTCCTAAACCTTATTAACTTTATTCTATATTCAAAGTTTGCTGAGTGCCCAAGACAAAATTTTGTTTTCCTTTGATCCATTCCTCTGACTTGCCATACCATGTACAAATAAAGAAATAGAATGAAGCCATTCAAGAAAAAAATGGGCAATTTTTGAAGGAGTAACACCTTAAATCCAATTGCAATATTCTCAGTTATGCCAACACCATTTAAAAGAGGTGAGTAGCATAAAGGGGCTTCAAAAGTAGGTGGGAATAGACCCTCCACAATCAACGACAGGTGCTAGAAGTTTCATTTTCCAACCCTCTGTCTTTATAAAACCCTCATTATTTAAGGTTCAAAAGCTCAAATTACACTAATGAAAATTACAAAGTGATTGCAGGTGACCCGAGTTGGAAGCTGAAAAGGCATTACTGCAAACCTGAGGGGCTGGGACAGGCCATGACTGTGCACACAGATAGTTACTATGGTTCAGCTGATGCACAAGAACTCAGGACATGAGATAAGGTAAGCTTGGCCTGAGCTCTCAGGTCAGCTGAACCAGTCCTATCTAGGAGATAAGAACATACATGTCTTTGCAGGCTCTGGGCCAGCACACTCAGTACCTGCCAACATCAGGCCACCTTCTCAAAGACTATCTGTGCCATAGCCCATTTCACCAAATCAGCCAGACTAATCAGAAGGCAGAAGTACTGGCTGGAGCCAGCTACGCAGGCAGAAATGCTTACCACCAAGTGACAAAATCTGTAATTCATTTTTGCAAGTGTTTTAATTGGTTTATATTTTTCTAATGTCCTTTCCTCACTTATTGTGCAAAATTAAACAATTCCAGAGCGTGTGTAATTTCAGTTTAAATACAGCCGTAAGATTGCCTTAATAGCTCTACAGTTACAGAATTTAAGACTCTGCTGCTCCTAGCTAGACCTACTGGTCACTGGAACATTAAGCACCTCCTTCTCGTTTGATATCCTTTCTCAGCTTCTGAAAAGAAATTAATATAGCATCTATTTGTATTTAAGAGATAATAAAAATGCATAGCATATAGTTATATCTTAATGATCACAACAAGAATATAAAACAGCCCTTCTTTCAATATCCCCCTCTCATACAGAACCAGTACTTGTGAAAGGGGCAGCCTTTTGGGGCTTCAGTTTGGAACCCATGTCTTAGAAAGATGATCATGTAATAAGTTAAACACCATTCTCTTCCCCACAAATACATCTGACATAGTACAGAAGATTTCTCTCTGAAAATTGTACGGATTAAGATGACATCGTGCTATACAAATGAGCATTTGAGTTCTGCTCAATTAATTCTCAGATCTTGAATTTTACTTCAAAAGGAGGAAGAAAATTCGCAAAATCCCAGGTAGTCAATGGTGTGCAGTCCTCTTGATTCCCTGAGGCTCT